TCGTGGTCTGGAATGTTGCTAACAAGTGGGACAACTAAGTTCCTATGGGAGTATTTTATATTGACTGCAGGCCTGCTATGGCTCCTTCCTAACGCTTTCTCTATGGCATCCTTACTCATGCCAACTCGCGGCCGCAACGACAATAGGCCGATATATTTAGATTGGAGCCAGTTCGTTCAGCTTCGTCAGCCACTTTACTCGCGTCCACCAGTGGTCGTCTTGACATTGTCTTGCAAGAGCGTTGGGAGAGGGTGCGATAGATGCCGCACAGGCCTGCCTCGCCATAAAATAATTAACGCGCAAGTTACTGATTCCGCGCTCAGCCCGTGAGCTACGCGGTGAACGTCTCCGCTCGCGACGGTCGAACAGTCAGTGTTACTTTGCCGCCCCTTGTTTTATTGCTTTACGTAGAAGCACGATGATATCGCTACATTAGGGGGTGGTTTTCCACATTTCAATACCCCCACTGAAATGCAATAACTTCCGTCTCAAATGAACTTTGAAGACCGCCATCACCAGCGTTGTGGTCGTGTAACCACGGTTACATGACTGTCCTAGTATCCGGAAATTTCCACTGGAAGAAGCAGTCCGTATACTTTGACCAACTGTCAGCTATTCTCATGTTCAAGTCTTAGTCTTCACGAGAGAGGTAACGGATTTGAGTCTTTGGTGGTGAACCACCTAGGGTTGGGTATGACTGGCTGTCGACGGCCAGTAAAACAGAAATGGAAATTCTTGTCTCCCTTGTCTTTTTCGGTAATGTTCTTCTGCCTATAATACTGGCTACTGTGTTGCCGCTGGCGAAGCTCCAGATTGTATCCCGCAACTGACAGGTGAACGCCTATCCAACACTATATATATTATCGTTTCAATCATGATTGAGCGATGAAGGCGTGTGGCTTCATGCATCCGCTGCAAACAATGCTTCTTCGCATAGCTTATTATAGAAGAAGACGGTCCTGCCTCGGGATGAATAGGATGGGTTACAAGCGATGATATTTTTAATGGCAATTTAGTCTAAAACAGATTACGCCCAAGTGAATTTTGAAGACTGAATGCAGAATTGACGAAGTAGGAAAACGAACGTCTCAATGTATGTATTTATTTAAAAACTCACTAGAGAAATGTTATAAATTAAGACAACAAAGGAATCGAATTCTTTATATTATGTGTTAATTCACAGCATTTTGGTTTGTTATCTTTATAGTAAAAAAACTGTATTCAGCAGCATCTGCCAGATGTCATTTGAGATATCAGATCCGGACTTTCAAGCAGGTTTCGAGTACCTAAGACGTGTGTGATGTCGAATGTAAGAATTGGAGGAGAAAAAGTAAAGTATAATTATACTAACTGCCGGTAAGTGTTCTGGAAACACAACAGATTTATAAATAAGCAACTTAGCTTTTGATATGTTATTGGGATTAGTACATACAATCTTAAAGTTATTCAGAGAGCTTGGTACTGAAATTATAAATCAAATAACTAGGGAAAAATCTTAGTTTTTGGGCTTTGAACCTAAATAGAAATAGGCAAGTGCCTTACCATTCCTCCAAATTGCATTATTGTAACTTTACTTAAGCCCGAATGACAATTAGAAATACATTAAATAAATCTGGAGCAATGGGTTAATAGCCTATCTAAGTGTATACAAGAGGGAGTTTTCAAAATCGTAAATGTGCATGGCAGTAAGCTAGTCCAACAAGACCCCGACATTTTAACGAGACATTATCTCCGATGGCGGTTGCGGGGCAGGAATTTACCCACGGCTTTCGTTAGGATCTGTTCTGTCACAGTAAGTGGTAAAGCACTTCCCATTAAATTGTCTATCATATGAGAACCATAACTAAATAACGGCCTTGAACGCGAGCAAGACAGCAGAGCTGATTGTCGACTCAAAATTAGAAATCTCTCAGCCTAAAGGAGGGAGAAGGTGCGGGCTACGGTATGATTATATAATTTATCAGGACGAAATCAGAATCCCTTAGCTGACCTCTAGGAATTGCTTCTTTCATTACAAGAGAGTAGTATTAATGATGTTTGATTGGCCACTGCCCCTATAACTGCTGCTTGTTTTCTTGCCACTTTTATCTATGAAGATGGGCTGCAGTAAAATTTTGAAGGCGCAGACGAATAAGGATATTGATTCAGCCAGCGAACAATATTCTACTTATTTACTTGTGCACACGTCTGGAATGCGAAAATTTGCCTGAAGACGTAAGGGTCTCTCCTGTCTGGCATTTCTAGCATGTCCTACAGCTTTCATTTGCGTTATTTGGAAAAAGAGACAGTAAAGAACCTGATACATTCTGTTAGTCACCAGATACTGCGAACGACCACAATATAGGTCCAAATAGGGACTGACGACACATTATTCTCTTTAAGTAGGATTTGCATTTTAACGGGAATATTGTCTCTCGGAGGCGTAGCATCGCAAACGCTAGGACATGACTAGATATGAATTTCGTAGAAAATCACATACTTCGTCTCTTACGATTTGGCTATTGCAAAGAGGCATGCACCAATCCCGACAGTTATACATCTGCAGTGAATGTCTTTCCAAAAACGAGTTTCAGTTAGAAAAACAAACAAATATCTGATCTTTTCGGCCACAGAATAATAATGCCTCGATTTTGTTTGGTTTCTAATTTTCTTCCTATGAAATAACGTTGGCACACAACGGTTAGTAGGTTCTAGTATGTCTCAGGCTTTCTTTGCTTCTAATATTATTTCCAGTGAGAGAGTAAATCCTAGTCGTCTAATTGACTTCGTGTGTTGTTTAAGTTAAGTGGCAGCCTATAAAACTCCATGATTGTATCTTTTTACCAGAATGAATAGGGATCCAGGGAACCAAGTGGCCTTCATGGTCGTAGTCTAAACCACGTCCGTTGTGAAGACTTCCGCAGAATTGGCTGTAGTCACTGGAGTCGACAGCACATGACTGCTCATGACTTCGTAGATAGGCCACATGGGATGACGTGTGCGTCGAACATCAAAAGTAGTTGTCTGAGTATCAGCGGCAATACTGCTATTGGTGGTAATAGTTGCTAACACATCCCCACTTTGCACCAGAGGTGAAAGCTGTGCCGGCAGGGCCATTCGACGGCGCTCCACGGACCTGGGGATCCTATCCAGGGTCATTGATACACCCTGCATCCCGGCGTGGACGGAACATTTGGGCAGTTTCACCGGGATAGCATTTAGTGCAGCAGGATTGGACAGCTTGACGGGTTGCAGGGGTAAATTGTAAATGAAGGCAGGTGGTGCGCCGTCTCTGGAGTCCAATTTGCTGGCCTGCAGGAGGCGGCTCCTGTGCTCACAGTCAGCACTGCCAACAGACTCGTCGCCGCAGGTCGTGGAAAAGACAGGCTTCCGCTTGCTGTTTCTATTGGCCTCGGCATGTGCGTGGTTGGTGACAAGGTGCCTAAAGTCCATGGAAACGCGTTTGGTTCGCATGCCGCGCTTTCGCCACAGACTCGTGTATAGGTTTTCAGCAAGCAGGACGATAAAAGCCACAGCCAGCA